CACCCTCCCAGCAGAGAAGTTTCTCCTCCTGCTCAGGTGGCACCTCCTGGGTTCCAGTTGGTGCCCGTTGCCCCTTGTCCTGTCCCTGGCACCACTGAGCAGAGTCTGGCCCCAGCCTCTTGCCCCCCACCCTTTACCTATTGATCAGCATTGACCAGATCCCCTCTTGAGTCTCCTCCAGGCTCAACAGCCCCAGGGCTCTCAGCCTCTCCTCATCACAGAGATGCTCCAGCCATAGAGACAGAGGTGTATGGAGGGCACCTCCTTCAGCAGGGCTTTGATCCAGGCACACACGAGCCCACTGCTCTGAGGGACACGAGTGTTTGGTTGGCTTTCTGCTGAAGGACTTCACTTCTGAGTGAACTGTGGCTTCTAGGGGTGCTCCTGCTTCCAAGCTAGGAAGATTTGCAAAATCAAGAGGAGAGCAAGCCTGGATTCTGAGTGTGAGTTTAGCACTCAGAGATGTGATGCTGCTCTTAATTCTGCAAGCAGCTCATGCTCATCTCCCCCAGCCCAGCTCCAGGCAGGATTATATTGCTACAACACAGTTGATCTTTCCAGCCCTCAATACAAGACATATTATTGAGTATTTGGATTAAGGCAGCAATAAGGATATAATCTCAGGAGTCCTAGCACATATACAACTTTAAGAGGATGGATTATCCCAGGCTATGTAAATCATCAAGCTTAGTTCAGCCTATAGGTCTTAAATTAAGTATCTTGTTTTCTAAAGAGCTGCACAAACACACAAACCCACATCTCCCAGCATCACTTAATCCAAACAGGAGCAAAGAGAAGCCCTACATCTGAGAAGCCCTTAGTACAGCCTGTAGGATAGGGCACAGCTGTTTAGAGCTGGAGCTTGTCCTTGATGATCTTAAAGGTCTCTTCCCACCAAAATGATGCCATGATTCTGTGTACTTTGCACCCAGAAGAAAATTAATTGGACAAGTGTCCCCCTGAGGGTGCACACTGAGTTACACAGCACCGTGCTGGGCTCACATGGACCTGTCAGTGCTGCAGCTCCACGCTGATGCTGGGCCCAGAAACCCAAAGATGGTCAGTCTGATTCCAAATCCCATGGGAAATGAACAGGGGTAGAGCACCCACAGCAGGCTCTCTAGCTGCCAGCTAAGCAGAAGCAGTGTGGATCAGAAACTGGGTGGCCAGAAGGGGCAGGGCAGGGATTGTCTCCTACACCCAGCACTGGGGAGGCTGCACCTCAAATCCTGGGGTCAGTTTTGGGCCCCTCCCTCCCAGAAGGACCTTGAGGGGCTGGAGCATGGCCAGAGAAGGGCAATCAAGGTGGGAAAGGTCCAGAGCC